GTTTCTGGTCCAACAAAACGTCTCATTCATCTTCCTCCAGCGCACTGAAAACATCGAAGTCCTCCGCTTCACTGTCAGAGTTAAGCTGAGAAAAGCTGCGTCACACAGCGGTATCTGTTCAGTGTTGCTTTCTGTGTCGCTGTCCTCCCGGGGTAATGCTGGCTCTGAAGCTGTGGTGGGATAGCCCTCCCGCTCCAGCATACGTCACTGCATGGGATTCCTTCCCCGGGGAGTGCAATGAGGAAAAAAAAGTCGTTATTATCGCTTGAACATTGCATTTCTTGTCTTTGTAATGTTTCCAATTGAATATAGGTTGAAAAGGATTTGCAAACTGTATTCTTTTTTATTTATGTTTAACACAACAACCCAACTTTTGGAATTTGGTGTTTTAAATGGTTCAGTGTGCAGATGAGTTTAACAAACGTACACATTATGAAATGACTCAGTTGATCAGGGGGACTGACATGTGTTACCTTCTCTGTTGATTCAGGGGCCTTCGCCAAGGTGAAGGAGAGCCAGCGGATGAGCGATGAAGGGAAGATGGATCAGGATGAAACAGACGGCATCAGGAAACGCTGCCGGACAGTGGGCTTCGCCCTCCAAGCAGAAATGAGCCACTTCCATCAGCAGCGAGAGGTGGACTTCAAAGACATGATGCAGGCCTACCTCAGGGAGCAGATAGCCTTTTACCAGCGGATTGTCCAGCAACTGGAGCGCACCCTGCGCATGTACGATGGCCTTTAAAGACTCCGCACTGCCCTCTGGGTCCAAACGCCAAAAAGCACACAGGAACCAAAAAACAAACAAAAAACATGAATTAAGATTTGACATTTTCATCTTGTTGGTTGGTTCATAAGAAAAGAATAAAACCATAGTTACTGGAAAGATGTACCAAAAAACAGACATCTTTTTGACTTTGATTCAAAGTCACCTTTTTATGACCTACTGTATGTTTTATATTTGAAAAACACATCACATAGACAGTGTTAGCATATTCTGCATAATTTAAGGTGTTTGTAAGAATAAAATAAGAGTTTATAATGATTTTATAGTACATCACATTAAAGCCATAAAATGGGTTTTGTTTGGAAATGGTCCCTTTTTTTCAAACACCATGCACTTTGACTTCTTCAGGGATTGATTCCAGTTCTATTCAATGTCTAACATATCAAAAAATAAAAATAAATAAAACAACGTAACGAATTTGTTTCAGAACGTCCTCGTTGCACCAGCCAGACACTGCACAGTGAAGCAGTCTGAGGACATCCAGCTCAGGTGTTCATGTTACTTTTAATAAATCAGAACCATTAAAGCAGTCCTAACTCCCTCACACCACTCATTTAAACACACGTCTGTTTTCTTGCAACAAGTGCCTTTTGTGATGATTTATATGGTGTTTTTCTGTAGTTTTTCTAGTTGTAGCATTTGTGTTTCACAGGCAGATGTTTGGAATGAGAGACGTGTCCGGACAGGTTTGCACAAGTTTTTATAATGACCCTGGTCTGAGTGTGTGTCTGTGTAACATGAATGAACGTTTGACTGGAGCTTTGGAGATCAGTTTTGTTTTTCACGTTGAAAAATCAAAAAGTGTGTCTTCAAAATGGACAAGAAGTTTATAAACATGGCTCGGCTCGGGTTCAGACATTTTCTGAATTTTTTAATGTCTCGTCATCTGCTGGATGATGGAGGAGAGATACTGCACTCTGAAGAAATCACTGTTTCTTTTTATCTTTTTATCAGTGTTGTATAAAGTACTTCAAAGTGATACTTGAGTAAAAGTACAAGTATCTTATCATAAAAATACTTTGGTAAAAGTTAAAGTCTTCTCTAAAAATATTACTTGAGTAAAAGTCTTAAAGTATCTGATATTTTTTGTACTTAAGTATCAAAAGTAAATCTCTAAAATCTACTTAAGTATCAAAAGTAAAAGTACTGAGTAAAAGTGAGCAGTTAGATTTTCCAAAATGACATTTATTGGGAGGTGACTTCTCCAAAAACTATATTTTCTAACAGCGTGCAGCTGTGATGGGTTGTGTACAAGCTAACAGTGTGTCAGAATGGTATATATTTATACTTCTCATCCAAACACAATTAAATTCACTCTATAGGAGACACAGTTTATCAGGACAGTACTTTTTAAGTAATAACTCAGAATAAAATAGTATTAATGACTTTCTACTTCTTACCTTTTTAAAAAATGTAGTGAGTAGAAAGTACAGATAATTGTGTAAAAATGTAATGAGTAAAGGTAAAAAGTACGCTGAAAAATTATTACTTAAGTACAGATAACCAAAATTTCAACTTAAGTACAGTAACAAAGTATTTGTACTTAGTTACTTTACAACTCTGAAACCAACCAGATATAATAAATGATGTTGGTTTGATAAGTTGTTAGCATTTAATTGGGCCACTAATGTTTTTTTTCCTTCAATATTCAGGCTAAGCTGAGCTTTTTTCAGGTCTAGGTAAACTTGTCATTTAAAATGGTCACAAAAATATGTTTCTGTAGTAATTTTTCATTTCAGATGTGATTTTTAGAGGCCAAGTATCAGATCTTAAAACGTTAGCCTGTTTCATTTTGCATTGTTAGCTTAGCAAAATGTTTCCACAGAAATGAGTTTCAGAAAACACTGACGCCTCTCCTGTTTCTGTTTTTCTGAGGAAAATCTTACTCATCCAGTTTGATGAGAAGTTTGTATGGCTGACTTGTGGTTAGAGCTGTCTGGTTTGCTGTTAGAATAGTTCTGACATTACAAGGAATATTGTGTTTAGCTTGATGTTCTGTAGTCACCTGTGATGAAGTGAGTCCTCACTAAACACAGAGGCTTTCATCTGCACATAATGTGCTTAAGTTTGAGAAATGTGAAATGTAATCATTAAATGAAGACGTCTGGTTAATATGAGTCTAATAAAACATTTTATAAGTTTCCATGATGAGAGGAAGAGTTCAGGGACTCAGATTAGGGATGTTTTAGTTCATGATCCTGTTTCATTTTCAGCCTTTAAAACTCACTTTGTTCATTATTAGAGAATGAAAACAGTTTTCTGTTGGACTACTTGCTTTGGCTGTATCATAAGTTTTCTCTGGTGTTGTAACTGAATCGGTTTTGCTAAGAAGAAAATGTGCAGGAAGTGTTTGAAAAGACTGATTTTATAATTATTATTTTCTGGGAAACTATCCAGGATTATGAGGTGCAGTTTGTAAAGTTACACAGTCAAAAAT